TTTCAAATTATATTTTTATGAGTTATTTTTATTCCAAATGGAAAAAAAAAACCCATCATTTTCAAACTTTGCAGTGTGCACAGTTGATTTTTAAATGCACATAGGAGTATTTTATCTCCTTTTGGTGAAGAAATAGGATAAATATGAGAATGAAAAGATACTTTTTCTTGGTTGAGAATAAAACAGAAAAAGACAACTGATAATTTTCTTAGCTCCTACTATTTATGGCCTATGATTTGTTACTTGTCTCTTTTAATTTGTGATAGTTGATTCTAAAAAATTAATTAATAAGGCAGATTAATGGTGATAATTTCATTGAGAGTAGTTACAATACTTTGTTAGAATTTTATCCAAATTCTCCTCTAGTTAAAAATACCCATTAATGAGATGCAAGCCATTTTTAGACTACTATAAATAATAACAGTACTGAACATGATATACAGGCTGAGTGTAAAATTTAGGATTAATGAATGATATAAAGACTATGAATTTCCTAGTTTCGCTTGAGATTTTCTGCTGTTAGATTTCAATGTATATGGGTTTAAATTCTCCAAGCCTTGAGGTGATTTGAAAAGCACAGAATTTCAAAGTAAAAAGTCATATGGAATTTATGGAATTGCTAATATCCTGTTTACATGTAAAAAGAGAGATTTTAATGTATAACTATATTTGGTTACAATCTGAACAAACCCCCATGTCTCTCTTTGGGCCCATGTGAGTGAAGTTTTAAGTGGATTGAGGAGAGCTCTTGAGAAAAAAATCATGACAGCAAGGAATATTATGGAATATAGCTGCAGAATTTTTTTGCCACCTACAGACTGTAAAAGGCTATTTTGGTTTCCATCATTTCCCCAGTCATATTTTCAGATTACAAGCCATGGTGACAAATGACACATTATTTTATATAAGGGTGCCAGAAACCGGTAAATGGAGTATTTTTTTGAAGCTTAGTTTAGACTAATTGTTTGGAAAAAAGGAGGGAATATGTTCATAGACTTTTTTTGACATAGCTTTGTGGATTATTATCAGTCTGTGAATGGAAATGAAAAACAAACCAATATCATCAGAAACTGGGAATGTGTTCCTCTTTTGCACCCTGATATAGGAAGTACCAAGGTGCTTACAGATGATCCTGTGATCTACTTTCTATGAAGTGTGACACCTGTCCTTGATGGTGTTACATTTACTACTCTGACTGCTGTCTTTTCCAAAAGTGGATATTGAAAATAGATTAATTCTATTCTCACAGAATCAATTAATAGCCCATCAACCATGATGTGTTCCCAGAGGTGGTAGGACTTGCGACAGGATTGGAAAATCTAATGTTGCAGTGATGTTGGACAAAAACCACTCTCTATTTCCCAAAGCATCTTAACATCTTTCTTATATATTCATGTTACTTGTCCACTACACCTGGCAGTTTCTTTTCCTGTGCACTTTTACAAAGCCCGAGTTCTCCTATCTTTATTTCCCAGCACTTGCAGAATGGGGCTTATGTGTGACTGACATACGCACAAGTGTTTGACTGGCAAATGTCAGCATCCCTGCCCACAATAAAAGTGAGCTATACTTTCAGAACAACAACAACAACAAAAAAAATATTAGATGCTGTAGTAATTTTGCAAAGAGAAAAAAAGACAAATGATCTCCTGTGGATAGGTAGTCAATACAGTTTTACTTTACAAGGGTGTCACTTCTTTGGTGGGTAAAATTCTTCCTTTCATTCTCACAATTTTTAAACAATGACAATTTATCTTCATGCTTTGCCTCTATTTCTTCCCTTTTTAATGCTATTCCTCCTTTGTCATGTCATCCTTGTTGGTGACTTGAGTGGTGTCAGTCTGCTGAAGCTGAAGAACCTAGAACAGAAGCCAATGAAGCCAATCTACCATCAGCTTCTTTTGTGAAATTTCTTAATTCTCCATACTACACAAAAACAATTCTGGCTCACACGCTCTGACTATAAATGTTGCTTCACATTGTTGACTACATCTTAAACTTACCTGACATCTGATTTCTGTATATGTAAAAATTTTATGTTGTGTTTGTGCTGCCTAAAGCAAAAATGCAACACAAATGTAACCTTCTAATTGTGTGTAAAACTGGAACACATGCTTATTTTACACAATGTGTTTGATAATTATAAAAAACACTGTACACTTTTTTCACCTGGTTTGGTAGAACCAAACTTCAGCATATTCTCAGTGGCAATGAAACTTACAGCATACAAGTATTTTAATACATGTAGGAATAGTTTGAAAGATATTGCAGTAAAATATAACCACTTCCTTTTGTGAAACGAAACTTTCTTTCTTGCTTGAGCTATCCATTCTTCATCATCACACAAAGAATGAAACTGGAGGATTCCATGAAAGATGACAGATCTTCCTACACATGGGGAAACACGATATGTACTGATTAATCCATAGGTGACCTTGACAGTGAAAACCGAGAAAGTTTTCCCTGTTGGAATTTGAGTGTGGGACTGACTCTAGACAAAATAATCAAAAGATCATAAAATATTATTTGTTTCCACTTTGTTTAAAAACTTCTCTCTTGGGTGCTGAGTTTCTCAGCAGGGCATGAACAAAGAGGGTTACAATTACATTTCTGTCTTTGATTAATTTTTGGTTCATTACATTTCACTCATTTCAATTCTCAGACATGTATTTCAATCATCCCAGCCCTCATATATGTGTAGTTTTAATAATCTACTTTTTCGGTCTTGCCAGGAGAACCATCAGCTCAACCTACTCAATCTTTCAATAGAGCCACAACAGGACAAATAGCTTGGTTAGTTTGTAGCTATTAAGAACTCTGACATCAATTCAATACTAAGAAACAAGGAAAGATAAAGATCTGCATCTCAAGATGAGAACTGAAGTACAAATCTGTTCAATTAGGCATGAAACTTATCACTGCATTTTCTAATGCGTTTATCAACCCAACAGCTTCATTCTTCAGAGCAACTCTCTTAGCTTTGCATTTAGCCTGCGTGAAGCTGTCATTTTAAATCTTTTCCCCCTTCAATAGCTCACTGCACATTATTCAAGGTAATATTTATAAAGGAGCGCATAAGGCACAGAAGCGTTTTTGTGTGTGCCAGCTTGGTTGAATAAAAGTCCTTGATTGTAAGATGCCCGTGAAAACCACTTTTCATGATAAGAAGCCCAAAGAAGTTGAAGCGAAAAAGGCTATCGGAGGATCTACAGAAAAGCAAAGCTCAATCTCTTTTTAGCGGACTTTTAATTGCCACCACTCTCCCTGACATCCTCAGCCTAACTGCAGAGAAACTCTGCTTCCAGGAGCTGGAAGGAGCCCCAGAGGATGCGGGTGACACCACAGCTGCTCCCCTCACTCGGGATTTAGCAAAAGCCCCGCGACGGCCGGGCTCTCCCCGACACCGAGGAGGCGCAGAAGCTCCGCGGGATTCCCTGCCCGCAGCTCTCCGCAGCGCCGGCGGGCGGCGAGCCCGGCTGCCGGCACCGCCGCGGGGAGCCCGGTGCCGAGGGGCGGCTTCGGCGGCGGCTCCCCTCGGGCTCTCCCCTAATGTTTTTTCCTGCTGCGTTAATTCTTCTCCTGCCTTCGCCGTGGCAGGTCGACTTCTGGCGGCCCCGTCCGCGGGGAAATGTCGCTTCCCTGCGGCGGCCGCCTGTACGTATGGGGGTGTGTTCATACATGTACATACATATACATGTGTTAGATATATATATATACATGGGTGTGCCTATGTAAGTGACTGATAGCTGCGTTAGAGCGTGGCGTTGCAGCGCTGTCCGACGGGAAGAGCCATGCCTGCGGGCGAGCGCTGGCAGGGCGCTATGTGCGCTGCTGGAAGCACGAGCGTGCGGACACAGGAGGGCGAGGATCACGCTGGGCTTTCGGGAGGCACAGGGCAGCTTGTCCCTCGCTCCCTTTGGGCTCTCCCCTTGTCCGAGGCACGCCGAAAGAGCGGCGCTGGCTGTGCGCAGGGGGCGGTGGGCGCCGCAGAGCGCTGCTCCGGGTTAGAGGCTGGGAGACGGGGCGGGGAGAAGGCAGCGCCGCTGCCGCCCCAAACTAGCCGGGCAAAGTGATACAACCAGCACCAAATTTCTTCCCAGTATGGGGTGGGGGTCGATGTACGTTCCCTCTGGCGAACTGCCAGCCGAAACCCAGTCACACAGCTGGCAGAAAGGGCAGCCCGGGCAGTTGAGTAAAAGCGGAGGCTCAGTGAGGCAGAAGGGGGACGGATAACTTTCCTGCCGGGCACGGGGTGAGCGGGCAGCCGCAGCTCCCTTAGGACCGGTGAGGCGGGCTCCGGGCGAGCGGGCTCTCCCGCGGCCCGGGGAATCACCGCCTTCCCCGGGTGGTCCGGCAGCTCCGGCGCCGCGCCCGGGACCGCGCCGTCCCTGCGCGCCCGGGGGTCGCGCTCACCCGGCGGTCCCAGCTCCCGCTGCCCGTGGGAAGCGACTCCCGCCTCGCCGCCCGCTCGCCCCTCTCCGGCACGGGGGCCGGCCCGGGGGAGGGCTGCGCGTCACCGGATCTGCTGGCGCCGGCAGCGGGGCGGCGTTACGGAGCGCCCCGGGAGCGGCGGAGGGGCGGGCGGGGGTCCCGGGCGGGGCCGGCATCGCCGCGCCTGGCTGCGGCCGCGGTGGCGGCGCCGCGCCGCCTCGCCTCCCCTCGCCTCGCCGCGCCTCGCCTGGCCGCTCGCCGCCGCGGAGGGGCGGCGCTGCTCCCCGCACGCCCCCGCCCGGCGCCCCCGCTCCGTCTCCGGGAAGGGCGCGGGGAGCCCCACGCTCCCCCTTAGCGCGGCGGCGGTGTTCGAGCCGGCGGCGGCGGCGGCCGGGGTGCGATGCCGTGTTAGCCGGCGGCTCGCCCCGAGGTAGCGCCGGCGGGAAGGAGCGCGAGTTGCCGGGGCTGTGGCTGACACCATGGGCACCGGGCGGGGGGGCGAGGCGGCCGGGCTCCCTGCGCTCCTCGGCTGAGCCCGGGGATGTGCCGGCGCCCGGAGGAATTATTTTGGAACTAGCACGGAGCGGTGGGAGGAGGACGAGCGGCACAGCGCTTCACGGCTGCGAGGAGGTCGTCCGGCGGTGCTGTATAGGCAAGTAAGCGCTTGCTTCCTTTTCGCTGCGTTCCCTTCGTCTCCAGTGACTTTTTTTTTTTTTTGCAGCTGCTGGTCGCTTGCTCCCAGTTCGGAGGCAGGATGGTCGGCGGCGCCAGCAGCAGTTCTCGGGGGTTGAGGTGCGGGGGATTGGCGGCCGGGATTTCAGGGGAGCCCCGCTCCAACTCCGCCGGAGTCCGCCGCGGGCATCCCGCTGGTGCGGTGCTCCGGTGCATAGTCGGGAAGGAAGCTCTGTGTCCCAGCGCTTCCCACTTCTGCAACTGTAAGACATGATGCCTTCTTACAGGCATCTCATAATGTAAAATGCCTTCTCTTTGCTGAGTTCGTACTAAATTGCAGGAGTCCCTTAATTTCTTTCCATCGGTGTTTCTTGTGGGAGAGAGGCAAGGTGCGTGTTAGCCTTTCATACGCACTTATGGATTCAGATAGTGAACCCAGAGTTTTGAATTTTATGCCCTTAACTTTCTTGTGCCCTGCCTAGTGTATTTATTTGAGATGCTCTTGCTGTGAGGTTATGGTTTGTTCAGCCTTGTTTGTTTGCTTTTAAGCCTGTGGATATTTATTGCTATACTTGACGTGGCAATGAAACGAAAAGTTGACTGTAATTTATTTCAGTGTATAGAGGACAGGTTGCAGGCAGGGGACTAATTTTGCTCTCAGAGTAACTCCACTTCAAAGGAAGAGGCCCATGGGGCTGTAATCTCTAGCTGAAAACTCGGAGGGCTCAGAGCAGACCTGTCACACTGCAAAGAAGGAGTTCTCTTCATCTTTCAGCAGTGATAGCGTTTAAGCTAAGCTGCCTCTCTTCCCGTACCTGTGAAAAGACCTGACTCTGAAATGCAGGGAATAGAGATGTGAATTCTGGGCAGGTTTGGGAGAAGGCAGAACTTTAGACACTGTTTAATTAAGTTTGCTCTTACTGATTTCCTCAGTGTCTTCTCTATGAGCCTGAAAACTGCAATCTGTTACAGTGACCTTGATGCATGTTGTATTCTAACATGAAAGCAGCAAAGAATAAAAGTATTTACATAGATTTACAGCAAAGCTCTGATGTTTCGTTAGGAGCTCAGTCAATTTTAGGTGGCAGTTTCAGCAGGGGCACTGGGCATGGTATGTGTGTAGGAAATAACTTGGAAAAATAACTTGCTGATAGTGACAAAAGTAAAAGTTGCAGTGTTGGAAACTTATGTTTCGGCAGAAATGCCACTGTGTGTGAAATGTCTGCTGAGTTTTGGATATTTCATTTTCTAATCAGTGAGACCTGTACTGAAAGGAGTGTATAGGTGTGTGTGGCAATCTCAAGGCTTCCCAGGTTAATGCAGTTTGAGTTTTAAGCAGCAAGAGATCTTTCTTATGCACCAAAGTACACATTTTTACGTAGATGCAAGGTTGACATGATAAGATTAAAAGATGTTGGGTTGTCAGTATGGTGAACATGTAACTGACTCAAGTTTATAGCCGAAATATAAACTAATCCTTTCCCATAACGGTGGAAGATAAACTGGCTGAAGGGAGTGCTATTTGTTTCAGTGCAGTTTATGGAGAATGTTCTCATGGATTGTTCATATTTCTGTCTCTCTGATGATGCTGTGAAACACAATTAGAATAACTACTGCTAGACAGTGGGATGCAAACCTATCCGTTACTTAAAACACTCAGCTGCCTCATACAACACTTATTCTGCCTCATATTGAAAAAAAGTATAGTTTTTGGCAAAGTCTGCCTATGGTTCTATTGTAGTAATTCCTTCCTCTGTTGCAGAGTGGCAGGCTTTCACTAGGCATGTGCAAGGGAGAGCATGAAACACTGAAGCATGCACTGATCTGGAATTCATTTGGGCTATGTATTACATTTGAGGTTTCCACAAATAGCATAAGTGCTTATGCCTGATTATATGAATAAACGGGGCTTAAAAATTGTCTTAGTTTTGTCACTTTTGATGCATATTGCAGACTCCTTTCTTTTTAGCCCTTAAAACTAATCAAATGCTATACTCGTTGCCTGGAGAGGAAGAAAACATAATTTAACGATTTATCATTTGGCTTTTGCAGTGTCTTGTCCCATAGCTATGAGATAATCTGATGAAGGTCCCCATCACTGAATTAAAGAACATGGTGCTCTATACTTTCACTTACAGTCAGATTTTCCCTCTTTTACATGGCTAAAGAACTGAGTTTTCACAAGGTCTGAGAAAAAAAATGTTGCTTTTTCTTCAAAACTCAGAAAGGGAAAGGTAAGACTTGAGGTCTTTAAAGACACCATTAAAAACATCCACTTTTAAGATATTAATCAACCTCCTTTACCTTCACACATTTTATCTTTTACTCTGTACTTGTCAGAAAGCCTTCCTGCATATTGATACTTTATTTTACAATGTGTATAGTTCTTAATTTTAAAAATTCAGGAGTGGCCAGCACACACTTCACTGTAAGGGAATTCTAGAATATTATTTAATGTTCTGTATACCACTTGGGTTGTATCATTTGAATTGAAGACTTCCAAAGTACACTATGTTCAACTGTACAATATGCATTTTTGTATTAATTCTATGTAAATTCCTTTATTAGAGAAGGTTATTGACCTTGATTCAGAAATTTCAGGGCAAGCTCAGAAGTTATTTTTTTTTTTCCTAATTTTTTCATGTCTGCTCAGTCATGCTTTTTGGGCATAGCTTCCATGAACTGACAGAAAGCAAAATTAAAAACCACCAACAATTAAATGTGATTTTTCTAGTCAGCCCAACCCAGTTGAGTGTGTAATTTCTATTTATTCACTTCAGATTGAGTATTAAGACATACAAACAAGAGCTGTAGTCTGCTCTCAGTTCTTCCCTCTGAAGTGCTCAAGTACCATTTCTTCATTGTTGTGTCCTTGTGCCTGAGCTGTCAGTATTTCTTTCTGGTAGTCATCACCAGGTCTGCTTGCATTCATTGTTTAAAAGCTAAAGAGTTGTCGTGAATGGTAAGAAACATCAGATGGATTTAGTGTGTCATGTTTCTTGGCCCTTCACATGGCTGTGCTTTCAGTTCATGTTTCCACAGAGAAGCTGAATGTGGTTGGGTTGAATCCCAACGTGAGTCTGCTACATCAACACGTACCTCTGGCAGTATGCTGTGGTGCTGGCTTAGCATGACTACACAGACAAACTTCTGTATTTGCTCAGAGTTTCATCTGCCATAATGGAAGAGTCAGAAAGCCTTACTGTTGTTGTGGCCAACCTGGATTTTCTGCATTCCTGTTGCAGATCAAAGGAAAGAGAGAAAGCATACATTAAAAAAAGCCCCAAAAACCCAGAACTCTAAACAGGTCATGTCTCAAAGATACAGCTATAATCAACACCAGGGAATGCAATGGAGACACATCCAGGGAAATTCACACATATATTTAATTATTCAAGGAGGAAATTATTATTCATCTTGAGAGATTTAGTAGGTGATGTGTCTACCACTTACGAAGAAGAGGAGCTATGTGATATGGAAACAAAGCTTTTTTCCACTGCACAATTCAGTTGTGGCTGTCACTGTCATTTGGGAATCTAAGCCTTATCTTCAGTAATTAGCTCAAATTGGCCAAAAGAGGTGGAACACTCTGTTGTGTGATGAATCTGGTGCTGCAGCAGCCAAGGGCTGGGCTGTTTCCTGGGGATTTGCTCGCTTCAATTTATTAAAGTAATGAGTAGAGGAAAACTAATCAAGAAGAGTGTTTGGGATGAGATTAATTTTATGATCTATTCTCTGGTTTATTTTTGGTAATGTTGGGCAAAACCATAAAAGTTGCCACTGTGATACTTCTGTGAGAGTAGCAATAGTTTTGACTGACATATATAAATATATGTAATTTATTTATTTACCATAAATAAATAAACAAATGATCTATAAAATGGGATTAAGGTTTTGCACATGAGGCTAGAACATGGATAAATGATACCGCTGGACACAGTTTTCTGTACCACTCGGGCACTTCAGAGACAAGGAATGATTGGTTTGTGAAAAGCTGTGCTGTATGTTCCACAGTGAAAAGCACGAGGGCCCCCATGCCAGGAACTGAGCACAGAGGGGTGGCAGTGGATGTTCCCATTGTGGAATAAAACTTGGAGTAGGGTGAAAGTCCCACACTGATGCACACAAGGTGCTTTTCAACAGCCACTGAAATCCCTATGTAAGACGTGGTTGATGTGAAGGCACTGATGCTTTACTGCTTTAGTACTGGCATGGATACTGTGTCTGTGAAAGAACATGGCTTCAAGGTGCTGTGGGTGCAATTGATTGATTGCTCAATTCCACAGGTGCTTTTCACCTGCAACAGGGATGAATTCTAAATTTTTTTTCTCTATGAAGTTTGTTCCTGGCTCTTAGAATTGGTTATTCATTCATTCAATTGGTTGAGATTTTGGTTCAGAAGCATGCTTTTAAAGCTGCTAAACATCAAGCACTTCTGAAGTCCTCATTGCTTGGAGCTTCTGAGATAACACCAGATGAGGGACAATTTATTCATCAGATTATTCTAAACTTTGGCTTTATGTTATTTTTTTGTTCCTTCTCAATGTGTACTTGGTTTCATGTTAAAGATGTTAGAAATGGTATATTTTAAGTAAATTTTATATTGCTTTTGGTCAAATTATTCAAATAGACTCAGATTTAAGTTTGAATAAAATCAGTTTGAGTAAAACCAAACACATGCCTTTTCCCCTTCAATTTTTGTACTAAATTTATTTAAAAAACAGCTGACCATAAAGAAGTGAGAATGGGAGTGTTATTTATGACATTCATATTTCTTCTGCTTTCTGTCAAAAACTAAAGGGAATTTCATCATCTTGTACAAATGACAGGCTATCGTGAGTGATAGCAATCATATTCTCTGATTCTCTCTTGGTGTAAAGACTATTTTGCTGTTTTTATTGAATTTAATGTAAAAATGTCATTGATTTCAACAGGTATAATACTAAGAACTTGAGAATATTTAAAAATCTCTTTAAATTT